AGCATCATACCAAAGGTGAGCATGCCTGTGCCTGGCAAAATAATACTAACAACTTGGACAGTCTTTAGGGGTATGAAGAGTTGTCCTTTTTTTTCCCAAAGAATCAATTCCAAGGCAAAAGTATAAAATCTACCCTTTGAAAAAAGCGCACAATTATGTTACAATTTAGGAAGCCTATATAGCCATCATTACCCTTCCTCGCAGTTTCCTGTGTTGCATGTTGCATGATAACTCCCAATAAAAGTTTTGTACTTCACTGCGATGTTTTGAAGCCAGTTTTGTAGAACAGACCCCAAGATTGTCAGAATGTAGCTTTGAAATGTAACATTTGATAGACTGAAATTTTTTTCAATTAATTCTGTTTTCCTTTATCTCAGATCTCCCTTTGTCAGGTAGTGAAGAACTCTCAGGAAGCGACTGGCATACAAGTGACGTACTACGCAACTGCTGCTATGCTGTGTCATCCCCCGGGGAAGGTGATTGGAGGCTAGGGCACTTTTCTTGGTGAGGCTGGACCAGACCATGGCAGTGTGATGTTCCGTTAGGGGCTGCCCTCTACCTCAACGACAAGGGACATGATGCTGAGAGCACCCAAGGCTGGTCTCCTGGGACGTTCATACGGTGGCCCTGGTTTCGGTGACCTCACCCGGATGTTAAGTGAATATCATGTTCTTTGTGTTCAGAAAGTAATTCTCTGAGAAACTGGGTCTTTATCAACAATGTTTGAATTCAAATGAACTTGAAGGCTTGCTCTGAGAAAGTCTGAACTTCATTTTCAATCCTTCGCACCTGCAACATTTGAGTATATTCATATTCAGAATGAAAAGCTCCTTTCTTTGCACTGGAATGATTTTAATGAGCAGGTCACATGTTTTTCACGCTTTTTGTTATCATTTATACTCCTAAAAAGCTAATTAAAATAATGGGAAAAACGTTTTGCATTAAATTTGAAATACTGAGTCAGTGAATGCTCAGAATATACAAGTAGGTTAGTCTGATGTTTCAAAATTAAAAGGGCAAAGAAAAGAAAAAACTGCCTCAACATGAGTGTTGCATTTCAGAAGTTAGGATTTTAACTTGTTAAAATTCATTTTGCCCTTTTTGTTGTATCTCTTGAGGTCAATCTCAGTTGGAACACCTTGCCCCTGGCCTGCAGATGCTACAGGAATGGGGACATAACTGCTGCTTCGGCAAACCAAATAATCCTATACAAGGTGAGTATAGACAACTTTGGTAATTATCCAAAAGGGAACTCCTTTGACATCCAAAAATTTGTGTCAAAGCTGAAAAAAACAAACATGTTAACAGTAATTACATCCTTCCTGAGTGTATTGCCCATCCTTCACAATACATTATCTCATAAAACTGACCCATAGGTTTACAAAGTTTTGAAAACTGGCTCTTAATGTCACTTGATATGGTGCTAACATTAATATTGCTTGTATCTTTTAATTTAGAGGCCGAATAGGCAGAGGCTAGACAGCAAGAAAGTGGTTGTCCACACTGAGCAGGTGACTATTCTTTCTGAAGGTTTAACATTGACTTGGTGATCTGATTGCAATAGAATACTGCTTGCCCTCTCCTCCACACCCCTGACAGTCGCAATTTCTTGGTTTTTTTTCCAAATTGAAATTGCCAAAGTGAGAATTTACCGTTGAAAAAATTCTTTCAGAAGACTTCCCATTTTGCTTCCCCATCCTAAAAGCCTGATTAACCTGCCTGTACCTTGGCAAAGAAATGTGTAATGATAATGTTGGCCTTTTACAATCTGCTTGAATTAAAATAGCATGCCTTGGAATTCCCTGACAATTTTCATGATTTTGAGAAACTACCGAGACCGTTCTAGGTGACCAGAAGTCTAAAAATATTCCAGAAAGATCATGAATCACTGAAATGTTTTTGTAATTTTTCCTTTAAACTTGAAATATGATACAAGTGTTTCTTCAAATGAATAAAGTTCCCTTTTTCCATCCTTTCTTTCCAGATAGCTGCTGATATTGACTATGTTGGCAGATGCTACCAGGGATGTTGATGTTGGGTTCATGATGATGCTCACACCATCTAAAGAACACAATGATGACATTTTGCCATGGTAACAGCACGAAGGACGACCATGGAGGAAGGAACACGCTCGCCTCGGAGTGGAATCTTGATATCATGCAATTTATTTTGGACATCTTATCATCCCGCCTTTCTATGAGATTTCATTTTTGTTCAGCCATTTATGGTTACTCTGATATTTTTAAATAGTCGAATGTGAGCAAACTGATTCAGCTTTTTGGCTTTTTAATGCTGTCTTTCTTTGAAACTAGTTGTTCATTTGCTTTCGATCGTGGTGCATTTCTTCAAATTTAGCTTGGCTGCTTCCTCATAGGCTCACTCATGGCTTACAAAGCAATTTCCAAACTGAAAGAATTGCATTTACGAATTATGAAGATAAGCTATACTTAACACGTGTTTAATATTTGCTTGAACATTTTTTGAAAGTCACGGCTCTTAATACACACCAGAAAGCTTTTTTTTTTACATTTTCTGAGTGCAGTAAACTTATATTTCTGTACAGTGTCTCGACACGAAACAGTAGTAGTACATTATCATTAATTTAGTTATGCTTTGCCACTGTTCCAGTCAATCCCCACAATGTGCGTTTGCTATTGTAAACTTGAATAAAATTGGCGAACTCTTTAAATCTAGATTTTATTTGTATTAGCATTTGAATAAAGCTATTTCAGTGTTTGGTAGTTGAAACTAAACACCTCTGAGTGTGAACTTGGTAAATGTTTCACTTGCTGTGTGTATTTGTGGGAGCAAATAATGCCCAATTAACTTGATAGAATCGAAGGATGTGTAATGCCCAGAAGATTTGTTTTTAAATAACGGGCGGCTAAAAAGTGCAGTCTTTAAGGGAAGATATTGAGGGCGCTCTTTATCTATACCATTCTGATACTGATCCGTACGG